GTCTTCTCCAACTTGGAAATCAAAATACACTGTTTTGTGTGTGAAAGTAGAAAACTCATTGCTGAAGCAAAATTTGTATGTCCCATTTTTGGAGGCTGTGAAGGTGAAACTATCATACTGTTTCTTCATCTCCTTGTATAACACTTTACCATCAGGGTCTTCCAATCGACAATCTACATCATAGTGACCACCAGTAATCACCTGTAAGAGATTTACAGAGAGATCATTGTAGCTAACACACATTAAAATTTAACCCAGTTTCCTGCAAAAAACAACAATAAAGCTATATGCAGAAGTCTTCCCATCACAAATTCACAGATCTTGATTTTCACCATTGGATGAAAACACACATAAAGATTTCAGTTCACCTAAGCTTTACAAAAAGTGAAGAGGTTCTTTTTTTTTTATAGTGAATTTTTATTATTATATTTTTTAATTATTTATTTTATGTGAGTACACTGTCTTTCTTCAAACACACCAGCAGAGGCATCAGATCCCATTACAGATGGCTGTGAGCCACCATGTGGTTGCTGGGAATTGATCTCAGGACCTCTGGAAGAACAGCCAGTGTTCTTACCCACTGAGCCATCTCTCCAGCCCCCAGAGGTTGTCTTCTAACAGAAGAGAGGAAACTTAATCATAGTGATTGTTCAGATCACTGTGCTGGTTCTTATAGCTCTTAGCCTTAACCTAGAACTTAGGTTAAAAAGAAGATGGGGAGAGACAATGGTTTTGGCAACCCCTAACTACGACAATGGACAGTATAGGCTTTAAGTATCTTGGTTAACACAGTATTGGCATTGTACATCAACAAAACAAAGATGCCAAAGTCTGACTTCAAAGTTCAGACTTCAAAGAAATCTCTATGATTTATATGACCCTTTGTCACTTGAGATGACTAATGGAATCATGTTACAAGATCATTTCAATAATTACATGAGATATAATTTTGTACTTAGAACTGTATTATGCACATATATGATTACATACATTTATTAAGTACAAATATGAATGAATGAATGAATGAATGAATGAATGCTTACTTTGGATTAAGACTAGGTAGGGCCTTGCGCATGCAATGTAAACATTATGCCTCTGTTTTTATTTATTTTTATTTTTTGGACAGTATCTTGCTAAACTGACCAGAAGACAACAAACTTGTTTTGGTTGTGAGCTTTTAGCTGGTAAATTCTTTCCAGCCACCCAGTTTTTTTGTTTCTTTGGAGACAGAGTTTCTGTGTGTCACCTTGGCCATCCTATCACTTGATCTGTAGACCAGGTTAGCCTTCAAATCATGAGATCTGCCTGCCTCTGCCTTCTGAGTACTAGAATTAAAGGTGTGCAACACCATTGCTGAACCAGCTACAAACTTGTAATCTACTACCTCGGCTCCAAAGGAGCTGAACAACATGTGTGCCAGCACATATAGCCAGATAAAATGGGTTGAGGCTACAACTTTAAAAGCATTTTATAAACTGGGCACTTATCCTGTTCTTTAAAAGTAAATAATCTTTCTTCCCAAAGCAAAATGCCTTCATTCAAATATTTCTATTCACACTGACCACAGTACTTTGAATAAGATAAACTGAAAAAGACTAGAATCAATTACCAGCCACACTGGTTCCATCAAACTTTAAAACAAGCAATCTTACTTTGGTCAATAATAGCTCTTCTAAATTTGTCTGGTCACCTACAACTGGAACTAGGTACTATCAAACTCAGCTTTCATCACCTGTCCACATGACCACACCCCTTTCTTTTTTTCTTTCTTTCTTTTTTTTTTTTTGGTTTGGTTTTTCGAGACAGGGTTTCTCTGTGTAGCCCTGGCTGTCCTGGAACTCACTCTGTAGATCAGGCTGGCCTCGAACTCGGAGATCCACCTGCCTCTGCCTCTCAAGTGCTGGGATTAAAGGCGTGCGCCACCACCTCCCGCCACAGCCCTTTCTTGATCTCTTAGGTCTTCCATTACTAATCCATCATATACTACTGTCCCAAATGCCTACAAGTTCTCAACCCTAATCTCTCCTAACCTGGAGACTCCCAGCCTGGTAGCAGGGCCGTGTTGTCCTGGGCACCACAGCACATTTACAGTAACTCCCCCAATCTCAGTGTATTAGATGGCAACCTGTGATCTCTCCTTTGGGGGTGCGGTCCTATTTTTTTTCACCCTTCAGCTAAGAAAAAACCCACTTAAAGTCTTTTGAAAACCCACTATAACCTATCAAAGTCCAGATCTGTCTTTACCAGCACAGCATTCCCTCCTATCACCTCTAAGCGTCCACAGTGTCCTGCTCATTACTGTTACCACTCTGTATCAGTGTCAGCTTCACAAGCTGACATTACATTCGGTTTCAGTGGGTTTCCACAGATTCTGCTTGTCAAAGAATCACAGGATCTAAAACTGCAATGTTTATAAATCTAGACTATTTCAAGGAAATGTAACACAAAACAACATTGTCAAGGGCTATCTCACAGCCAGAGATCTGAGATCAGATATGAGCCTTTGCTGTCCCCTTTTGAAGTCTGGGCCAGATATACTTACTCTCAGATCTGGACCACTGCAACCAGGGAACCCAGAGCTGAGGGTTTTTTTGGGGGGTTGTCTTCTGGTCATATAGACATAAGTAGCTAAACTAAGCAGAGTTCTGGGACAGGAATTGGGCTGTGGGGACTCAAAGAAACCAAGCACAAATCTTGCTGTTACAGGAAAAATACAAAAAGTCCAACTGGCAAATCCACATCCTAAAACTGGCACCTTCCACAGTCACAAAGCCAAACTATTCTTACTACTTCAGCATCACTCGCTTAAACTTTTGGATGAGAGCTCAAGCTAATTTCAGGCCTGTTGGAACTCTCACAAACTTACCTGTCTGATGTGTCCTTTCCTCCTCTGCCATATTGCAGAATAAAGCTTAATTATCCTTCCATGTGCAGCTCAAAAATCAGCTGTACACTAAGTTTTCCCTGATGATGCTCTTGTCTCCTGCCAGCATTCTGTGTGAACTTTAAGCATTGCACTTACAGACTATGTCTACTCTAGGCCTTAAGGAGTTAGTACAATAAGGAATTCATCTTGAGACTATCATTTCTATTATTTGTAAGTTTGGATCTAAATCCATCTTGGATTCTATTTCACTAATCAAAAGGAATAAAAACACTTCTCTATTTCATCAGTTTTCTTGATAACTAACATATCTGAAACATTTGGCATACTATATATAAACAAATTTCTTTAACTTTTTATAGCACCAAGTATTGTAGCTACAGATATAAAAACTCAACCAAATGTATACTAAGTTTAAATAAAGGATATTCTGATTATAGCTTATAACTCCTTTGCAATTATATATATTGGGAGTTGACACACATACATCCTTAATTCCTTTTTTTTTTTATATCTTTAGACTTCTCTCCCTCCCTCACCATACACAAATTATCAAGTCTTATTACCTTTTACTTTTCTCCTTCCCCACTAATACTAACCTAGTCTAAGCTATTTTTGTTTCTAATAAAAAATTATTTTTAGTATTTTCAATTATGTTTATGGGTATGTCTGGGAGATGATGTGCATGTGAGTGCAGGCGTCGACAGTGGCCAGAGGTGCTAGATCTCCCTGTAGCTCCAGCTACAGGTGACCTAGCCTCAAGAGTTGCTGGACTGGCTGGGCAGTGGTGGTGCACACCTTTAATCCCAGCACTAGGGAGGCAGAGGCAGGTGGATTTCTGAGTTCGAGGCCAGCCTGGTCTACAGAGTGAGTTCCAGGACAGCCAGGGCTACACAGAGAAACTCTGTCTCGAAAAACCAAAAAAAAAAAAAAAAAGAGTTGCTGGAATATTAAATGAGCCTATTAACAAACAAACAAACAAACACAACAACAAAATAACAAATGGTATACTGCTTTAGGCTCCTGAGGAATAAAGTTCGTGTTTTACATTGTCCCAAAGCTACAAAGGGGTCTCTTGTTTATCACAATTTTTTACAATACCCTTGATAGACCGTCTTTTAAAAAATGCCTCTGCAGTAAGGAAAGAGTTATTATACAAAGAAGGAAAGAGTGTTATACAAAAACAAAAAATCCTAAACCCAACCCAATCCAATCGCCCCGCCCTCAAAAGTCCTGAAAAGACCATGTGTTATGTCAAATCCAACTAAACTGGAGTTGTGGATTACAGGAGTAGCGAGCTGATACTGGGCAGGAAGCCCAGAACAGCTTTTTAAAAGGAATCTCTTAATTTATTTAATACTGCTTCAATCCAATGAGTGGCACCTGAGAATGCGACAGTCACAGGAAGCACTTTTGGAATTCACAAATAGTTCTTTCTCTGAGCTCCTAAAAGAAAAAACCAAATGTCTTCCATAGGCTACCGAGGTGACTCTTGGTTAGCCGACCACAGAGGCCGGGGACAGTAGTACCTGGAACTCCAGGGTGCACTTGGTGCCCTGAGTGATGTCCTCGTAGAAGCACTGCTTGGCATTATCGGGCAGCTCGAAGGTGATCTCGGAGCCGCTGCTCGGACCCGGCAGGAGCAGCAGTAGAGCAAGCAGCCTGCAACCCCAACGGCCCGCGACGGCCGACCAGCGCGGCGCCCACCCCGGCCGCGGCATCCCGGCAGCGCGGCGGCCTCAACGGAGCTGCGAGGCCTCGACGCGAGGGGTAGGCCCAGCACCTACCGGCTCGCGAGCCTCAGCCAAGCGTGCGACGAGGAGCGAGCGCGGGCTTCCGGAGAGAAGCACTCAGGTGCCAGCGCGGCTCCAGGAAGACCTTAGGGGCAGGGGTAGGAGGCCCGGCGGACCACCGGAGGAAGAGGCCTCGCTGACCGGAAGTACAGCGAGACCCTAAGCGGAAGGGGCGGGACCGGGGCAGCCTCCAGTGACCCGGATGGGATATCCGGGGCGAGGCGTTGCAGTGAGGACGTGGAAGCGCGTGAGGCCTCGGCGTTGCGTGGGCGGCCCTCCTTGGACGAGGGGAGGGGGCAGTGCGGGAACTCGACGGGAAGGGGCGTGGCCGGCCGTTGCCTAGGAAGGGCGCGTAGTCTTGCTGCTCGCCCGGCTGCGACGGTAGAGGGGTTCCGCTGCACTTTGTCACTGTGAGTACCAAGTTTGGGGAAATCTCCGTGGGACTCTCAAGAGCTCATTTCAGAGGTGTGGGGAGCTAATCTCCGGTGGTAGAGAGCTTTGTAGTTTGCAGGAGGTTGTCTCACAAATTACAATCGTATTTGGACGAGGCGGCTTAGGCAGAAAACACGTGTTCTCAGAGATGCGTAGAGACTAGAATTTCTAAGTCCCTGCTCTTTACCTTCCGGCCCACTGACCTTGGCCTGGATACTAAACCTCTGCTTTAGTCTAAATATTGCTAAATAGTACTGCGTAAGGTAAATTCAGATTGTTACCTGAGCTCAGTATCTGGAAAAGGCGTCTAGGAGAGTGGCTGGCACGTGGTAAGCACACGATAAGTTTCGGTTAAATTAAACATCCGTTGAGTACCTCTTAGCAAGCTCCTTCCCCCCCCCCAAACAATAAATCATATTGTGTCTATTTTACTGATTAGGGAGTTAAGGCTCCAACTGCAGCAAAGTTAACTAATTTGCCTCTGATCAACATGGCGTTTCTTACAGGGCATTCATTATACGCTTCCCACGTGTGTAACAGGAATCAGGTGTTCCCGGTTTTTTTTTTTTTTTTGGAGCGGGGTTGTTGTTGAGTCTTTTGTTTTTGTTTTTTTAATGAAAGAGGCAGGGTGGGCTCTAGGTTGCTGAGGATTAATAGGTTTTATGAGAAGGAAATAACAGGCAGGTAGGAATGAGGCAAGGCCCTGAGTAAGGGTTGGGTGGGGCCTATAAAATGAGAGCCGGAAGTCCACTCAGCAGCCTGGGGCACTTAAAGCTTCTGCTGAGGCAAATGGGAAGGAGGTTTAAGGTCACATTCCTTTCATTTCTTCCAGACTTGGGAGACTACACCTTCCTGAGAACCAGGCCAGAAGCCGAAGTATTATTTTGTAGGTGAGTGAAAATAAAACTGAATTTGAAAGTGAAAAATAGAGGTTCTGTTTTCTGACAGTGATCTTGGACCGGTAATCATACTCTTACCTTGGAGCTGGTAGTGTAGCTCACCAGTAGAGTTTGTCCAAGGTCTAGGATTGAATCCCCAGAGCTACGTGGGTGTGTGTAGGGTGTGGGGGGATTGAGAACTACCCTTTCTTGATAAGATGACTACAAATAAACAGAGAAGAAATAAGATTAAAATCTCAGTGCAGTGTGAAGGGTTTGGGAGGGAGGGAAATGGGGAGAGAGGGTAATGTAAAGTCTCAAAAACTAAAAGTAATATTAAAAGAATCACAGTGCAGTATCACTTTTAATATTACAATTAGTATTACAATTAAATGTCACCAAGCAGGCAAAATTTCAAAGTACAGTAGTGCAAGATGTGCACTGTTCTTGGAAATGTAAAAGGGGCAACCACTTGGGTAAGCTTAACGTAAAAATATGTATATTATGTAAAACATGTGACCTTGAAGTTTCACTTTAACAATTTTATACTATGCTCTATATACACTTTAAGAGTATTTACTGTGAAGCTGTGATTCTCAGAGTGTCTTCTGAAAATCAGAGTTTGTGGTTGTTCAAGGTTGGATTTTTCATGTTTCAACCAGAAGAGCATAGCACTCCGGAGGAGGTGAGCACTCAGGGTGTCAGTTAATCTAGATTTATAAAAGTATAAAGCAACGTCTTTACTGTCACTGAGTTTTTATTTGGAAAATGTAGTTACACTTTATATTTAAAGTGTATTGTCTATTTACAGTGTGGGGGGATCATATCCCTTCAGACACAATTCCAAGATCTCATTCCTATCCCTGTTAATAGCACTTTATTTGGAAGAATTTTTGCAGTTGTAGTTAAATTAATCTCCAGAAGAGATTATCTGAAATTTAGAGGGAGTGCTAAATACAATGAATAGGTAAAGATAAATGATACAAGAGAAGATTAGAGACACATAGAAGAATATAAAGGCACACACATAGATTGGAGTGATCCGTGAACAAGCCAAGGAAAATCAAAAGCTTGTCCAGAGTCTTGAGGGGCTAGAACAAGCTCTGCAGAGCCTCCAGACAGAGTGAGCCAGTACCTTCATTTCAACTGTCAGAGAATACATTTCTATTAATTTAAGCCACTGAGTTTGTGGTTACTTGTAATAGCATATAAAACACACGAGCACAGTACGTGAGTTCAATGGGTTATTCTTTAGTAAGAATTTGTCAGACAACTCATTCTTAAACGAATGTCAGACCCAATATTAATCACTCATGCAGAAATGTGGAGGACAGTAGTTGATATTAGATGACTTCTGCTGTTCTCCACTTTGATTTTTTGAGACCTGTTTTCCAGGATCTTACGGATTCAACTCCGAAAGGCTGGCTAGCAGGCCCTAGGGGGTCCTCCCACCTCTGCCTCCCTAGTTCTGGGATTGCAGGGACAAACCGCTTACCTTGGCTTTTTTATGGGCTTTGGGGGGCCAAACTCAGGTCCTTATGCTTGTGCAGTGCTGAGCCATCAACCCAGCCCCTTTTCATAATTTCTGGCTCAAGAGCTAGACAGACACATACCCCACTAAAGGACAGACACTTTAGAGTCTGAATTCCTAAATCTCTAAGTACTTTACGGGTTATAAATTTTTTTACAATAAATTTGAAGTTCAAAATTTGGTGTGTGAATGTGACAACCTACTTGATAATGAATATAAGGGCAAAGCCACAAGGAACCCTGTCATTGCTTAGTCACACAGATCGCTTTTTTTTTGTTTTGTTTTGTTTGTTTTTTCGAGACAGGGTTTCTCTGTCTGTGTAGCCCTGGCTGTCCTGGAACTCACTCTGTAGACCAGGCTGGCCTTGAACTCAGAAATCCACCAGCCTCTGCCTCCCAAGTGCTGGGATTAAAGGCGTGCACCACCACCGCCCGGCAACACAGATCACATTTGTCTCAAAAAAGCAGAGTGTCAGAAGCCTCTAGTTTTCAGAAGCTGCCAACAGTGGTTGAGATGGAAACTGGAAGAAATCTCTAGAAGCCAGGCATTCAGTCATTTAACTAGATAGTTAAGTCATCAGAAAGTGTGATAGTCAGACCACATTGCTCATCTCTGTAGAAGTTCCTCGGATGGCAGAATTAAGATTTGGGGTTATGAACCTGATATTATAAATCCACATTTGGAAGGTTTTGTATAACAAAATGGAAATTGAAGGTCGTGAGAAACATGCCTTTGTATTTCAGAAAACCTCATTGCCCCAACAGTGTTGTGACCACTAGGTGGTGCTGTTCACTTACCAGATTTCTACCCAGGCACAGAAGCTGCATTGTTCTGCTTTTTGAGATTTACAAGCCAGGCGGTGGTGGTGCAGGCCTTTAATCCCAGCACTTGGGAGGGAGGCAGAGGCAGGCGAATCTCTGAGTTCAAGGCTAGCCTGGTCTACAGAGTGAGTTCCAGGACAGCCAGGGCTACACAGAGAAACCCTGTCTCAAAAAAACCAAAAAAAAAAAAAAAAAAGATTGACAGACTTAAAACAGCTGAAACATTGGAGCAAAATTTGCTGAAGCTACCAGAATAACAAAGGGGAGAATGAGGTGTGATTAGGTAATGGGTAAAGAACACTAACAGCTGCTTCTAAAGAGTCATGTTGGAGCATTTAGGGTTTTTCCTAAGGCAGTTGAGAACCATCAAAGAAATTGAACCATGAAAGGACTAAATTATAGTTCTGTTGTTAAAAGAACATTCTGGATGCAATAAGATAGAGCTATAGAAATATGGAAGTAAGATTAATCTGAAAAAATAGAAGGTCATCAGCAAAAATGTCAGTAATGGCTGATGGCAGTGTGTCTGCTGATGCAAGGTGACTGGTAGCTTGTGAGAGGAGGTGAGTCTGTGGAGCTGCTAAAGGCTAGCCAGCTGCGACGGAGGATAGCTAGGGATACTTAGGAGAACTGTGTGGAGTGGTAGCTGAGGCAGAAAGATGCCGTGGACACAGAAGGCATCCTTGTAGGAGAGAGCAGAAAGCAGTTTCTTGGAGACATGTAAGGTGCCATTCTGTAATCACCTCTATTTTCTAGATACCATGCTGATGTTATTACTGTGGTTTCTAACACTTCATGTAAGATAGAGAACTTTATTCTTGCTCCTGTATTTGACACATAATAAATGTTCTTTTTTCTTTCTTCCTTCCTTCCTTTTTTTTTTTTTTTTGTTTTTTCAAGACAGGGTTTCTCTTGTAGCCTGGGCTGTCCTGGAACTCACTCTGTAGACCGGGCTTTCCTCAAACTCAGAAATCCGCCTGCCTCTGCCTCCCAAGTGCTCGGATTAAAGGCGTGCGCCACCACTTCCCGGGATAAATGCTCATCTAATATTGAAGAGGTGTCATAGAATGATAGAGAAAATGAATAATTGTATAAATTACACTAATCTTGCTTTTGTTTGATGTACATGGTAATGCTATTTTAACCATTTTAAATACTAGGCTTTTGTAGTATGCATTTCAGACAGTGTGTTCACTAGACTATCTTGTATCACATATGATTGATTATCTTTATGTAAAGTGTCCTATGTCTTGGAAAGCAAACTGCATTGACAGCTGCAGGTAGTTATAAATACATATTTTAGGTAGGAAGCAGCCGAAAAGTATCTTAGTTCTTGAGCTTAACTGGTGGTTTGCATGATCCATCCAATAACATTGGTGTGGAAAGAGTGAATAATAAGCCATGTCTTTTAGCCTCGTATAGGGCCTGGGTTAGGGACAGCTAAGATAAATGAAGTAGATAGTGTGTTACCATTCAGAAGAGCCCAGTTAAGAGTGGCCTTTAAAAGGCTACTGTAATACCCACATACAATTATAGACAATGTGCCTGTATACAGTGCTACGTAATGATTTAATTTCAGTAAACTCAGTTTAGTTGTTTGTAGAAAATTGAAGTTTTAGGTTTTTTCAAAGGCTTTTTTTTTTCCTTAAATATTTTATTTATTTTAAATGTATGAGTACGCTGTAGTTGTTTCCAGACGTACCATAAGAGGGCATCAGATTCCATTACAGATGGTTGTGAGCCACCACTATGTGGTTTCTGGGAATTGAACTCAGGACCTTTGGAAGAGCAGTCGGTGCTCTTAACCACTGAGCCAACCCTGCAGCGGAAAGAAATCTCTTAATACACTTGTGACTCTTGGACCAAGAGTTAGGTTGGGCGTTTTTTCCCTACTTACTTTTCCCTCCATATTACTGAACAGTATAATGCCCTTGTTTTCTCAAGATCTGTTTGCATGGCTCTATTGGGTTCAGGAAGAATATGGCTAGGACTATCAGTTTCACAAATTGAGTAAGACTCTGGTCTTTGCCCCTTAGGTTCCTCCACAGTAGTTGGGGGAATCAACTGCACAAGCAGTTGCTCCGAATGCCAAGGGTCAAAGTTAAAACACAATTCTCTATTCAGCTATCAGAGAATGCTCCCACTGCCAAATGGAAACAAGAAACAAACATTTCTGCCCCAACACACACACAGTTTGACAGAGAAGAGAGAAGTTTTCATAATATAAAGGCAGATATCCAGGCATGTGATGGTAGGAATAATGTATAGGGTGCTATGACAACAAATTAGAGACAATAAGTTTATATTCCTAATTTATACAGCTTTTGCTAAATGAAGAGAATATATAAAAGAAAATATTACACCATCAAAGCATGTTTTTATTAAAGATAGCATGATACCATGAAAAAAAGGGGGAAGAACAACCTAAGTTGTTTTCCTACTGTAGTCCCTTTCCAAAGACATTTATTTACTATCTTCATAGAGTCACCGTGAACTACAAATAATAACATAGCGTTAAGCTCATCTTTGTAGGGTTAGGGCCTGGAGACCTATATGTTGTATATATAAATATGAAAAAGTTTGAATCATTAGCTATAGATCAAATGCACTTTCTACCAAGATTTAGATACCTTAGTTGAAGTTGATAAATGGATCATAATGATTTGCAAAATCATATGGGTATGCAAAGACCTCAAACAGCCAAAAGCGTGTGTATAGGGGGCCGGGGGGAAGAGGAGAGTCAGACTGAGAAACTGGAAATGAGGCTACATAGCTACAGGCAATTGTGCCAAAAAAAACCCCAGAAGTGTCATCAAGGTATCAGAATTTCTTGTCCAAGCATCTTAATCTTGGACCAGTTTTTAATCCCTCTTTGACTAACTGAAACTATTGCATCTAGTCCTAGAGAATTGCACTGTTCACTGTGGTGGGCTTTGCTATTGCATGTTTATAAATAATCCCTCTCTTCATATTACCCAACTTGACTGCATCATCTTTTCCCCAGTGAACCCCTGGTTGGCACAGTGATTTGATACTATAATTTGCCCCAGAAATCAAAGCAGAGTCTTTGAAATAGCAGCAGGCCCTAGATTGTGTTGTGTAATATTTGAGGAATATAGGGGGAAATGGGCAGTGTTGCTCAACTGTCATTGCTGATGACCTGGAATGACAAGGTATTAGGAAATCAAGTAGCTTTGGAACTTGATTGCTTTAAAATATTTTCTCCTGTGGGTTACTCTGATGGCACCCTAGGGATCATAAGTAAGGGAAAGGAGACCTGAAACAGGCAGACTTAATGTGAGTAATCATGGTTATAGATGTATTTTATTGCCTGTGGAATAGAACAATATTGCTGAGTTCAGTGCTTAGGGTCTAACTATAGAGTTGCAAGGATTACATTAGTTAACCCTTAAATCCTACTATGGTTGCTTACATTAATGTAAGGACACTTAAAGGAAGTGAGTGGGCTGCTGACTGGAATCCCAGACTGGAGGAGCCATGCTTTATATATAGCAAAGAGAGGTGCAGTGGCATCATGCTCATACTTCACTAGTCGGCCGTGTGCTCCATCTCCATCAAGCAGCTGGATTGCTAAAACGTGGGATAGCTGCTGACCACATAATTCTAAGAAAGGGTGCTTGTAGGAGGCTATTTATACACTGTGCTATGTACCTTAAATGAGCAGCTGAATTCATCTAGTAATAAATAAATGTGATATTTGTAAAAATGTACTAGGCCATAAAGTAAGACTCAATACATTCCAGGGAATTGGTAATATATATAATTTGTTCTTCAAAAATTGTAAACCATAAAAAGCAGGAAAACAAGCCGGACAGTGACTTTAATCCCAGCACTTGGGAGGCAGAGGCAGGCGGATTTCTGTGTTCGAGGCCAGCCTGGTCTACAGAGTGAGTTCCAGGACAGCCAGGGCTATACAGAGAAACCCTGTCTCGAAAAACCAAAAAGACAAAAACAAAAAAAGCAGGGAAACTAGTTTGGATTTTTTAAAATTTATCGTATATATGTGAGTACATAGTAACTATCGTCAGGCACACAGGAAGAGGGCATCAAATCCCATTACAGAAGGTTGTGAGCCACCATGTAGTTGCTGGGAATTGAATTCAGGACTTCTGGAAGAAGAATCAGTTCTCTTAACCACTGAGCCATCTCTCCACCCTCCTTGTTTGGAAATTTTTAAAAGCAAATGACAGAAAATTCACCAAGATAGTATGGCAGGAAGAAATAAAGCACAGAGTTTGAAATACCAGTGAGAAAATTATTATTTGGAGATGTATATTTGTAAAACCCAAACTGTCTTGCTTACACACACACGTTCAAACAAACACAAAAGTAATTTGAAGCAAAAATATGAATTTATCAAAAGTTTTCTGTGTGTGTATACACATTTTTTGTTTTGTTTTGGGCTTTTCTAGACAAGATTTCTCTGTGTAGTCTTGTCTGTCCTGGAACTAGCTATGTAGGCCAGGCTGGTCTTGAACTCACAGAAGTCCACTTGCCTCTGCCTCCTGAGTACTGGGATTAAAGGTGTGTGCTACCACTACCTAGGTTATATTTCAGTATTTTAATAGTTAAAAATCTACTATGAGTATCTGTAGTGAGTGTGTTTTGTCAGAGCCATAAATGGATGTTGTGTCAGAGTTTATTGTCTGCAATAAATCCATAAACTCACATTAGTTATATTTGATGTAAGGAATCCAGATTTGCTTGATAACTGATATCTGACAATTATAGGTTCTTTTATTTCTACCTTAATTACTAACATTAACTCCCAGATCACACACTGCACCTCACTGTCCATGAGTGGGTTGCAGTGTCTTTGTTAAGAAAGGCTTAGAGAGGCTGCTGAGTTGAGAGTGTAGAAGGGCTGTCTGAAGGCAGAGAGTTGCTACAGAGCAAGGGCAGGCCTGCAGGGTACCAGACACAGCTGCAAAGACATCAGATACAGCTCTGAGTGGCAGGCCATTGAGAGGCAGTTTGAAGTGACACAGTGTCAGCCAGGAGAAACTGTACTGGAGCTGGAGGTCTGCCACTGGCACAGAAGCAGGAATCCTTTGCTGTGTGATGTGCCAGTATTCCTGGGTGAGCTTGTGACAGGTGACTAAGAGATTAGTCAGTATGCTGTCAGTATGTTGGCCTCTGGATGCACCTTCTGTTAACAGTCCCAGGTAAGGGGGTTCTGTCATGTGCATATTGTGTGTCTTTTATTCTGATAAGATTCGGTATATTTTCAGACTTCATTATTTACTGGCACAAAATACCAGTTTGCATCTCCTGATATGCTGGCAGATAATGGTGTTTACTTTTGTAAACAAGATGTGGAGCCATTCTTCTTGGCACTTAGAATGAAAATGGAGTAGCTCAGGTCAAGGCTGTTGCTTCATTAACTAGAGCAATCTGTGGCTAGGCAGAGGGTTGAAGCCAATATTCCAAACAACACCGTGTAACCCAGAGCTGGCCCAGCTTGTGTGCCACAGTCACTTAATATTTACTAAAAATATTCTTTTTTTTTTTTTTTTCAGCTACCAGAAGCCAGGACTCTGGAACAGTTTGCTGGCTGTGAATCTTCTATACTTACAGTGTGACAGTTGCTTCAGATCTGCCACTGTTAGATACTTCCTGCCACCCATCCTGGTAGTATAGCTCTGAAAGGAGTCACAGCCACTCTCAGCCAGGAGTCCTTCACCCGACTCCTGTGGTTGCCCTTTCCATCATGCCAAAGAATAAAGGCAAAGGAGGCAAAAACAGGCGCAGAGGTAAAAATGAAAATGAGTCTGAGAAAAGAGAGTTGGTGTTTAAAGAGGATGGGCAGGAGTATGCTCAGGTGATGAAAATGCTGGGAAACGGACGGTTGGAAGCAATGTGTTTTGATGGTGTAAGGAGGCTGTGCCACATAAGAGGAAAGTTGAGAAAAAAGGTTTGGATAAATACCTCAGACATTATATTGATTGGTCTGCGAGACTATCAAGATAACAAAGCTGATGTAATCTTAAAGTATAATGCAGATGAAGCAAGAAGTCTGAAGGCCTATGGAGAACTTCCAGAACATGCCAAAATCAATGAAACAGACACATTTGGTCCTGGGGATGATGATGAAATCCAGTTTGATGATATTGGAGATGATGATGAAGACATTGATGACATCTAACCTGACCGAAGCATGTTACATTCCAAGTTCTCTGAAGATAACTCTACACAATTGGCATCTTGACCTTCAGCTGTTAAGTAAAACTTCATTTGGCATGTGTATGACTTGTTAATGCAAATTGACAAATTTCTTTTTTTGAAGTATTATATTTCTTTGAAAACCAAAGATGTTGAGTTCTCTTACGTGACACATTAACACTGTGTGCTTATGGATATAATTGAACTTAGGGCACAGCAGTGCGCACTGTTAGAGACTGGCTTTCCATTTGTGATGCTTCATTTCTGGCACGGGCGTGTTCTGTGTCAGCAGTTCTGCCGGGTAACCATCGTGGGCTGAAGTGAGTCCTGGTCCAGCACACCTGCTTCAGGCCTTTATGTTCCAGTCATGTGGCGGCGGTTGAGACTTCTCATCAGACTTACAGATTCTAAGTCTGCATTTGGAGTCAGACATAGTATGGCTATTTTTGTATTTATGGAGCCATGCCATTTTATACTTTTGAGTTGTTTTGCCACCCATAAAAAGGCGTTTTACAGTGCAGTTTTAAAATTACACGGGTAGCGATTTTCAGTTTTAAAAATTAGTCATTGCAGAAATTAAATACTTAGGAAAGATATTCCATTATCTTGACTTTAGAAATATAATAGTTGACAATGTTTATATATAATTTTACTTTTCTAAGGCATACCCAAAAATAGAGAATTAAAAAGAGAAGTGAATTTGTTCTGATACTTGCATAGAGAAATTTTCAAAAGAGGTAGTTAATAGCACATAAAATATTTTTTACTTTGCAAAATAGGTTGTGTTGTTTTCAAAAAGTTAGCTACTGTATTGAGGCTTTGGATAATTAATTACTGTGTATTGATTAAAGTTAGTTACATAATTGTACAAGTGAACTTTTTTTTAAACTAAGCTTAGGTTAAAGGAAGAGGAGCCACAGCTTAATGAAAACATGGTTCCTGTCTTCTAAATGGAGGAATCCAGTATCAGAAACACAATAAAAACATGTTGGTATACAAACATTTTTTCTTTTTAATATGTTCATTATATCTGGTATATAACAAAAATAAATGACTGGATGATTTCTAGTATATCATGAGAGGCTTTTTTTTTTTTTTTAATTAGGCTATGGGATTTAAGATAAACTTAACTATTTTCCCACGTAAGAGATTGCTGGTATCAGGGTTCTACAGTTTAACCCTTGCTGCTTAGGGAGTAAATATAAATCTTGTCTGTCAGTCCTCAGGTGCCTTCTTTTTTTTTTTTTCTTTTTTGTTTTGTTTGTTTTGGTTTTTCAAGACAGGGTTTCTCTGTAGTCCTGGCTGTTCTGGAACTCACTCTGTAGACCAGGCTGGCCTCAAACTCATAAATTTGCCTGCCTCTGTCTCCCAAATGCTGGGTTTAAAGCGTGAGCCACCACCGCCCAGCCGGATGCCTTCTTTTTAAAGACTAGTTCTTTTCTCAGATTTTGTGCTTGACACTTACAAATGGTGCCTGGCCATGAAAACAACAGTATTCACTGTCGCTTATTTTTTGATTGGTTGTTTTCCAGTTAGCCCATAATAATGTTGTTTACGAAAATTTCCCAGTCAGAAAGAAAAAAAAGCAAATACTATTTTCCTGATCATTGATTGGTGGATCTCTTCTAGGTGGAGATATGTATAGATCTTCGTAAAGGTTAATTTTGTAAAATGAAACTAGACATGGTGCCAGATTAGAGGCAGATCCCATGTCCTCAGAAGGACAGTGTGTCCTTAGAAAGCACGTCACTGGAGCTTTTTACTGCTCTACACTGTATCTAAATACGCTGTTAACTAAGGGTTATCCTATTGCCGCTGTAAATTTTTGGTACAGAAAGAAAACTTGACCATGGGCCAGGTAGCTTGATGGCATTCAACAGCAAATGAGACTGTCCCAAGTTAGGAGGTGAGGACCAGTACCTGAAGATGTCCTCTCAGTCCACAACATGTACATGTGCTTACACACATTAGCACACTCACAAAGATGCACTTAAGGCTATAGTACCGTGTCTTGGTCATTGCAAACTATCAGAGGCAAACACATTTCCTGTTTCCTGCTTACTAATATCTATATTTTCTCTCACATTCTAGATGAAGGAATGATTCTTTTATAACATGAGTGATTTATGCTGTTTATTATAAGTAAATGTTGACATAAGTGTTAGAATTAAAATGACTTAGTGAAATATTTAAATGTTTCTTTTTCTTTCCCATAACATTGTCACACCACATTTCAGCCTCCTGAGGTCACTCTTAAGAAGCATGTGGCTCTTAGCTTAGCTTTCCTCAGTTTCCCTAGCTTGCTACAATAGGAATGCCAACCTCCTTGAAGATCACCAATCAAATATTCGAGCTAAAGGATTCTTCACCCCAGTGCCAGTGTTTTCCTTATCAGTCCACAAAAACAATTCATGTGGTTCATATTTTATGTACTATAATTTATATCATTTGTTTATTCAAGGCTATCCCTGAAGTAGCAGTGCTTCTACCCCGCTGACATGATCTAAAGTTTATTTCTGAATGATAGCTTCAACATGAACAATGTGCCCTTAGTCAGCAATTTCATACTCTTGTGCACTATTTTACTCCTAATACCTCAGATTATCCATGTCCATTTTGAAGTACTCCGTTTTCTCTGATAGCCACTTCATTTTAGATGGTATGTTGCTCTATCACTGTGTAACAGAAATACTAGGGTTTGTGCCATCACTACAAACACCAATAGAAAACACTGAAAATTATTCAGAGTGGTATTTCACTCAGAGCTGGCAGTCTGGAGAACGAAGAGGGTTAAGACCTTAAAAGAGGGCTGGAGAGTTGGTGCAGTGGTTAAGAGCACTCACTGACTAGACTTCCAAAGGTCCTGAGTTCAATTCTTAGCAACCACATGGTAGCTCACAACCATCTGTAATGGGATCCGATATCCTCTTCTGGTGTGTCTGAAGACAGCTACACTGTACTCATATAAATAAATCTTTAAAAAAAAAAAAAAGACCTTAAAAGAGCTGCATCTCTTCGCCAAGGCAGCAGATGTTACAGGGAGGATGACGGACAGTTGATCATTTCAGAGCTGACTGCCCCTTTGATGAGGTGATTAGCCAGGTTTGAGGTGATAAGATGTGTTAGCTGTTGCCTCCTTCCTTGACACCTTTCCTGTTCTTTCCCCTCAGTCTCTGGACATCCAGGCTGAGACACTTGGTGAAACACTGAGTTTAGTCTTGGTTAGTATCACCTATGTCCTTCTCAAAGGCCATTGAGTCTGGGGAACATCGAGCAAATGTGGAAAGCATGGCCCATTACAGTGTGCACATGCTAATCTGTGAACATGTATGTGCAAATCCTTCCTACAGCCTGAAGTACAAATGTGTCCTTATAGTGTGGGATGCCCAGGCACCCTTATCTCCCCCTTTTAACCCATCAGTTGGATTTTTTATTTATTTATTTTGCTCATTCACATTATCCTCCTGGTCGCTCCCTCCCACAGTGGATTTGCTTTTCGTTGTCAGGACTTTGTTCTGCTCTGTTCTAAAAACTACAGCCTAGGATCCGTGCTACCCTGTTTCTCCTCGGATGCAAAGGTGAGTGATTGATGGACAAGACGGAATACACTTTGGAAACAGTAACAAAGGCCCCCAACCACAGCACTAACTCTGCCCCTGCTATACAGCCAAGCAAAGGACTTTGCTTCTGATTTACTGAGTAAACAGTTGTCACTGCACCAGCAAATCCCTCACCTCCACCCCACCCTCAGTCACCTACAAATGCAGCTCAGCTGTCACTTTGTCACTTTTTGTTGCTATCCCAGGAAGAGAGGTCTTTCCTTCTAAAAAGGGCTATTCTGTTCACTTGCAAGTTTTTATCTTTTCCCCACTACCCTACCTAGATAGCCTCATTCCCATACTTGCTTCTTGTTGGTTTGTTCTTAGTGAATATTTAATGAGCTTAAAAAAAAAAACAAAACCACGTCTGCACCTTCAGGGAATGGCTGTCCCTGGTGACTCAGCATCATCTCTTACTAAATCCTATATGACAATGACAGGTGTTTCACATGGCATGAGTTGAAGGTGGGACCCCACAAGTCTGATACCATGTCTTCAGCAAAGCTGAGGCTCTTTTCCTGCAACTAGGGTGGTTTTTCCAAACAGGTCTGAGAATACCTGACAAGAATCAAATGAGAGCAACAAGATGGAGCATAGTTGGAACTAGGGCAGAAAGTGTAAGTGCCCTAGGCTGGGGAGGAGGGAAGAAGAAAGGAGTTGTACAAGCAGGAAGTGTCTTTATGCCAGTGTTCCTGTCACTTGGTACTACCACTTAGAAGTCTTCACTTGACTTTCTCTGGAGATTGTCACGTCTGCATTGTCTAAAGATCTCATCACAGGAAGAAAGCAGGTGACTGAATATGACACCTGCATGCAGCTCCTGAAGTGGACAGAAATTATAGGAAGCTTTCAGATTTCCAGAAGGTAAGGAATGGGGTGGTCCTAGTTAGGGTTTCAGTTGCTGTGAAGCACCATGACCAAAAGCAGGTTGGAGAGAAAAGAGTTTGTTTGGCTTACACTTTCATGTTGTAATCCATCATTGAAATCCGGACAAGAACTCAAGCAGGGCTGGAACCTGGAGGCAGCAGCTCATGCATAGGTCATAGAGAGGTGCTTGCTCTGTGTGCTTTGTGATAGAACCCAGGACCACCAGCCCAGGCTTGGCATCACCTGCAGATGGCCTTCCCCCATCAATCACTAATTAAAATGCCCTACAGCCAGATCTTATAGAGGCATTTTCTTGATTGATCCTACCTCCTTTCAGATAAGTAGGCTGTGTCAAGTTAAAAATAACACAGGGGCTTAGATTGATTTTTACCATTCTTCATAAAAGGACAGAAAGCAGGCCCTCCTTCCTGACAGTGCTATACAGCCAAGAAAACAAATGATGGACCACAGGCAGCTCTTAACAGTTAAAATAAGACTTGCCAAGTACTAATGGCATCTGAGGATGCTTCTCAAACAGGTGATTCTTTTATCCTTATAGGTCCCTAGTGTACAATTATATATAGCCATATTTTCCTAAGTAAACACTTCAGGGTCCCTAAATTGAGTGTTATAATCTAAAATTAGCCACTTGTCGGAGTTTACTGGAGTCTGACACAAGGGCGTCTATCTGCTGCTGAATGCTACAAAATTCCCAAAGTGCCATGTGCAGACAATCAGAATTTCCATAATTCACAGAAGTGTTTGCATCAGTACCGGCCTGAGTGGGTCATGGTTTTAATTGCTGCTGTTTTTTAAATGAGCTGTATAGTGGCACATTTATAGATGTTTGTGACCGGGTTGTGTAGAATTGCTACATTGTTACTGGTTTTGTGCTGACTCTAGTCTGTTAGCACCAAGTTCCTCCTGTGAAGAAGGGAACAGCTTGGGTAGGTAGGCTTCCAAGCTCAAGGCTCAGCAGCTGACTAGTAAGTGCAGGCATTTCAGTAATGCCTTTATTAACTTTTTTTCAGTTTGTCCTTCAGATAGCCCAGTGGAGGCTGGAATGGAAGACTGTGTTTGGTTTCACTCTGGAAAAGCTAACCACCTCATTCCAGTGCACCTTTCTTGTGCTCT